TTGAGTTTAAAAAACCGACTAAAAGCCGAACGCAAAGAACGCTCAACAATTCTTTCAGGCTTCACTTGCTACAAATGAGCGCAACGGAAATGTGTGCCTGTGCTGGGATTTTTCATCTTTATCAGAAAGGTTTTTTTAAGGCACATGAACCGGCGAAAAATTTCGAGCGTTTGAAGAGAAAGCAGCAAACGGGGAAGAGAAATACTAAAAAAAGATTGATAACGGTCATTCAAAATTCTTTAGCTTTTTTAAGATTGAATTGGAAAGGGAATATACTTTCTCTTCTTCCGTCTCCTGATTTCTTATCTTAATTTTCTTTACTGTTTTTATATGGTACATCTTATCTGCATTAACACCATTTCCCCACTCCTGTTTAAAAAACGTTAAGAATTTTGAATATCAATGATTATTATTTGCAGCTCTGCTAAATTGAATGAGTGAGAAAGGTGCATATTAAAATTAGACCTCAAAAAAGCGCGAAGGCGTAAACAAGTGTTCTTACAAATGATAAAAATAGTTGAAGAGGATGACAAAATTCGCATGCAGAAAATAAAGAAGAATTGCGCATAAAAAAAGAATTTTGTGGAGGAGGCACCATAAACTGCGATATTGCAGGAGAGAATTTTTTAATTATAGTTCACTTCTCCTGTTGAAACGTCCGTTGCCTTCGCGTGTGACCAATGTCTTTTTTCAGTTCGCGCAACTCTTCCCAGATTTTTTTTATCAACTTGCAGGAAATGTTTTTTTTTTCAGTTTGTCGCAGTAAAAGCAATACTACCGCTAGGACTTTTGAAGGAAACCAAAATTCTTCATATCTGTACGAGTTTGCAGTTTAAAATGAAAAGAAATCTATAAGAAACTCAACGGTAAATGAGAAAAAAATTAAAGAGATAGTAAAAAAAGTAAATAATGTAGCATTAAAACATCAGAAACTGTAGAGAAAAGTATTCAACGGGCGCAAATTCTCCTATAGTCACCACCCGTACTGTATACATATCTTCCTCAGTGACGCGAGGAAGAGTTTTTGCTAGTATTAAGAGGCAGTTTGACGTATTACCTTAAATAAACCTAGGTACTTTTCCTGTCTTTTCAGGTAAATTTCGGGAAGCGGCGAATGAAAGGCGCTTTTACACTGAAAAATACTTTCTTTCACCTCGAGAGTACACTGCTCTTAGTTTTTGGGAAAATTCTAGTCAGTAGTCTATATGTGAAAACAATATAAATATTATTCAGTTTTTTCAGCAGACGCCGATAAACAACAATGGTCATGTCAGTGTAGTTAGTTATTTGGCGGAGCAAGGGGCTGACATTAATGCACGGGATAACAGCGGTGTAAAAATTTATTAATTCCTACCAACAAACAATCTGATATCATTTAGTTTTGCGACTGACATCGAAATTACAGAGTTTTAGTTTGGTAAACATGAAACGCTATTTGCCTTTTAAATTTAGAAAACTCCTTTACACATTGCATCCCAGAACGGATTTCTAGACATAGTGAAATGCTTGGTGGAACATGGAGCAGACGTGAATGCAAGGACCAATGACTGGGTAAAATAACTTTCAACATTTTCCGCAGCTTTTTTTCAAATCTTTCATTGTTTTGCTGTTTTAAAGCTGAGTATGGTTTGCCTCTGTAAGGTTTTAAGAAAGATTTGACGAATTTTGCTGTGGTTCTATAGGTAAAAGGTACAGAAGAGGTGGAAAAGTACCAAATTTTTCACCCAACACTTCAGCAGTCTGGTTGCAAGGTAAAACATTTTGAAAAGAGTTTTTTTTAACGGAGGATTTCTAATTTGTTTCAATGTTTCAGTCGACACCGTTACATATTTCTTCGTCGAAGGGGAAAATCAATGTGGTGAAACATTTGGTGGAATGCCGGGCTGACATTAATGCCAAGGATCGTCATAAAGTAGAACTTTTTAAGAAACCTAAATTTCGATCTTTATTACAATTTAAAGGACTTATTAGCATTATATGCATTATATCGATTGACAAAAAACTGAAACTTCATAATCGAGGAATACTTCGCAAATGCCTTGAAAGCAGTTATAAATTTGCTAATACAGTCTCGCTGTTTGATAACAATGGAGTACGACATTCTTTTTTCTTTAGCGAACAGCACTGTGGATTGCGCAAGCGAAAGGTTTCACGAACATTGCAAATTATTTAATTGAACAAGGTGCTGTTGCAGATGATGAGAGCACGTTGGAGGTACAGCGAAAAGTGCCTGGTTTTTTAGAAAAAATTATGAGAGAAAAATTATGTGGGCTGAAAATAATCTCGGTTTTTAGGTTATAGCAAGGGTGTGGACTTAAAAATTCAATTCTCTGCAGTTTTTTAGTCTAATAGCTATTCTGAAAACTAAGCAAATAGTAAAACTGGAGTACACAAAGAATGCAGGTTTTTTTTTTGTTGCTTTAGATGGATGCTTCTGCTGATGGACAGCAAGACTCATTACGCGACGAAGGTCCAGCAGGTAAAACAATTAACTATTGTTTAAAGTGAACAATAAAATCCCTTTTCTTATGAAGTTTTCTAAATAATTCTTGAGCATTTCATATTCCGCTAAGACTTAAAATTTCAAAATTTTTCTCAGGAATTTTATTGCGAATTAAAAGAAGAACAAATGACAAAAAGTTTTACCGCTTAATTCAAGTTTAACTCTTGTCACCAATGTCTTTTATTAATTTTTTGCGACAACACGAATACGAAGACAATTTGTAAAAAAGGTGTCAGAACTACAATGGTAGTTTTGCTTTTTTTTTGGAGAACGTTGAAATTGCATAAATAGAGAACGTATTTGCAGTTACCAATGGAAGAAAGTTTTTTGTTAGCGTTTTTGAGTAGAATTTGGTTAATGTACATTGTTCTCGTAAAAATTTTTATCTTTGGATAAAAAATTCAGCACTGTAAGTGATAATATCTGAATCTATGAACTTGTTGTAAATTTCAGATGTTTTGACCGTATTTTAAAAATTAAAAATTTGAATCTACTTACCAAAAGGCTTAGTGAGCACATCTTTACTTTCAATTAGTAAGAATTATCATAATATTATCGTATAAGTAAGTTTCAATTCATATGGTGTAACGAACAATCAGTAATAATATATATTCATCTGCTGTTCGTACAGCATTATGTTTCTGGTTTACGATAAATTTTTTAACCATATAAAATAACTTCAATGAGGCGATTTTTTTCCAAATTATGATGCCATATATTTTTTTCTCCTATTACTACTGGCTTTGGAAATATTTACTGAGTAAGGCCGCTTATAGCAGATTATCAAAAAAATAGTTTGTTCTTTGATATTTGACAGTCACTTTTGTAAAGATTGCAACAGTGGCAGTGAAATGGTACTGATCAGTAATTTTGTCCTACTATAACAGAAACTGGACAAGCTGCAGAAAAGATTTAAACAGATATAAAATTTATAAGAAACAGTAAAGAATTTGCCTTATTCACTTGATTGTTCATTTTTATGTGCCCTTTCAACTCTGCAAACAAAGCAGTTTGTAAGAAATTACCTAGAGTTTACTTTCTTCAGGCCACGTTGAGGACTTACAATTAAAAATATTTTATTACAGAAAAACGAAGAAAGTTGATGGAAATGACTACTGAGCAAACGATGGAATATCCGGAAAATGAGTGTAGTAAGTGGCAAATAAATTATTAATTTATTTCTTTGACAAACTTTAAAGAAGTTTTTAAAAATTTAGCAATATGTTGATGTTTTCCTTTGAACAAAGGAGCACTAGTAATACAGTGAAGTAAATTTTGGTAGCAAAATCAGAACTACCGGTACAAGCTCGGATAAAGAAACACAAAATTTTTTGTTCACACAACAGTGAAGCAAAGCGTTACCGATTCCCAAAGGTTATGATAATTGTGTACTCTTTGTTTTACGCATTTTGGGAGGCCAAAGAGTCAAAACTTAATAAAACAAAGAATTCGTTTTTTATTGTTAGGATCATGATTGTTTCTTCCTTGAGTTAATTGTCGTTTGTTGTACCACTGAAGTCGATAGGGTTGTTATTCTCTGTAATGTAAAAATTTAAAAGAGTTATTAAAATTTCATTCCTGTATCTGAGTCAATTGGAGCCCGGTAGGAAGTTAGTGATTTTAAATTTGGATTTGAATTCCGTATGGAGAGTAAGTTTTTGATGTACTTCCTCTAGGTCTTTATCTCTATTCATCCTCTTCTCCTATTTAACGTTTTGTTAATAGATTATTACTAGTGAACACTGGCAGTACTTTATTTGTTTGACCAATAATAACCTTGAATATCTTTCCTTTCTTTGAGATAATAGACTTGTTAGCTACTTATCTCTTGACCCACATTCTGACTTCTGTCTGTCTATCAGTCTGCTTCCCATTCATAATTTTAAATTAATAGAAACTGGAAGGTATAGCTTGAAGCTATATAGTGCTCAATACAAGAGAGCTTTCTAGACTGATAAGACAAGAGCGGTATATCGCCAAAAGAAGATTTGCTGTAATAATATATATTTAGTTGAGCCTTAAATCTGCTGAAATTAAGCTACTGTAGAGATTATGAGTTTTGCTTTACTATATTTTTCAATTTTTTTATTTTAACCTGACTTTCTCTTGTTTTCTTAGCAGTAACTACAAGCCGGAATTCAACATGTCTTTCTCAAAAATTATTACGTATTTGCTCAGGGGATAATTTATCACTTTTTAATTATTATCTCGAAAAAAACAGTATGTTTTCTAATTCAGACGACGTTAACATGGAGGACGGAAGTCAACATTGCGTAATTTGCCTTGAAAAGCCAACAAATCCCGAAAAATGTGAACAATGCAATCAACTAATAGGTTGTCACGATTGTATTGTAAAGTGGTATCGTGGAGATGGCCAAGAAAATAGCAGGTATTGCAAAGTTTTAATTTTAAAATTCAGTCTTTTAAGGTAATTCTGCAAAATGACACTGTATTATTCTGCCTTTTTAAGTGCATCATCCTGGTTGAACAGAAGCTGTCCACTTTGCCGGTTTGGATGGGATGATAGCCCTAAAATTGCGAAATGGAAGTGACTGTTATCTGCAGTGCACCACCTTCGGCACCCACTTACTTCCATTCACCTTATCGTTTTGCATCCGTTGTTTTTGCCGTAAATTATTAGCATATATTTTTCTTTTGAACGGTTTAGAAGTCAGCTACTAGGTAATCTCATTTGTTCCAGATTTAAAGGTTAGACTGGCTATTAATCCTCTTAAGCTTGTTAACAGTTGCAACTGCGTAATATGACAAAGTAAACTTTAGATAATGTAAAAGTGGTCATGGCAGCCAGATTTGAGGAAAATATAGACATACAACAGTTGGAAGCTTAAAATTTACAATGTATTGACTTTTTTATATTGTTTTTAAAACTCAGATTACAAAAAAAAGATAAATTATTGGTAAAAGTACTTCCCGATGATTTATAATAGAAAAAAGCAGGTTAATTGCTTGTAAAAGTACTTATTAATAGTTGCATAATTGTTAGTAGTTTCTTGCATTATTAATTACAGGTAGGAAAAATCGCTTGGTCTTCTTTGCGACCTTTACGTTTAGGAATTCTTTCGTCAAAAGTAGTTTGAAACAATGCAAAATAATGAAACAGTAGCAGCAAAATTCAAATTTTCTTTTTTTTTTTTTTTTT